TACACGGATGATTTAAAAATTAGGTTATTGTGTTCGAGAATGGTTCTCAAATCGATTCGAGTTTTGCAAATCCTACATTTTTGTTCAAGCTTATTCGATTAGTCCAAAATTCAGGGTTTTTTATATATTTAAACTGAGAAATGTTTAGAATGAATCTTTGATATGTATGAGGCTCCTTTGAAATTTTTGTATGTTTTCATGTTTCCAAGTAAAAAATTTTAAGTGCCAAATTTCTAAATGCATTTACCTACTGTAGCAGAATCATGGATCTAGACATTGTTCATACTGATTTTGTGATATTTATTGTGTGCTTGTGATTGTTTAAAGACTGAGAAAGAAATAATTAGAAACTGAAAAAAAAAAAATGATTCAATTTTATCCCAAAAAAAGGGAAAAAATTATTTGAGGAAGAACTAAACACTGGAAAATGGTAAAAACTAGTTTTGAAAGTAGAACGGAAACAAATATTCTGAAAAGGAATATATTTTTTCTGTGATAAAATAATTTAAATATAACAAAAAGGGTACATATGGCCTAAAAAAGATTGCTGACAAAAATGAAAGTCCCACTTGCATCTACGCACGTGTGCTTCACAATCTCCGTTACTGTTAGTAATTTCCATCCGCTTTACACATTTGGGAAAAGTATGAGGGGTTTCTTGTGTGCTTTTAAAACCATAAGGGGGTTCTTGTGTGCTTTTGAATACCACAAGGGGGTTCTTGTGTATCACCCCTATTTATTATGGCTTTGGAGAGTAAATTTTGTTACAAGGCTTCCGGCTAATTATTTTTTTATATCAAAGTTTGAATTTGTGGCTTAAAGTTAAACCAGACGGTGTAATTTGCACCACAATATGAACATAATCCAAAAAATAATAAAAATAAAAACGGAATGAGATATGTATTTACTAGACGAAACCATATAAAAAAATACACAGTGTGTTGTATGGAATTGCCTTAGAGAATAGAGAATGTATCTTGTAAAGAAAAACTCATAATTTATGGTGTCTAAGCTTGCTTGGATATATAAGGACCCATTGATCAGGTTTATATATCTGAAACTTCAAATTCTGGAATTGAGTCAGTATTCAATATACTCGGGAGCATGTACACCCCCTCTTATTTTTTGCACTACTAGTCCTTGTTGTCAGTGTTGTCAAACTCGGCTCGGATCGGCCGGTTGAACCGGTTAAACTGAGAACCAGACCTCAAACCAAGCCAAGCAGCATATAAAATCACCAAAAAGAGAATCGATCAAAACCAGTCAAAACCCTGATCGAACCGTGAATCGGCTGAAATCGGGTCGACCGGGGGTTTTAAGTTTCTTTGACTTTTGACCGAAATTTGCACAAGTTTCCATGGATTTCATTTCTTCCAAGGCCAACTTTTTTTGTTTTGTTCAAAATAGCCCCACAACTTTTAGTATTTATGTTGTTCAAAGTTTTAATTTGATATTTTAGTCCACATTTTTAATTTCAACTTCTTAACTCACTAATTTGAATTGTCTTTTATTTTTTTTAATTTCGCTATACAACCAACCAACTTCCATCATTTTAAGAAAAATTCATATTATAACTCTAATATGTCACAAAAAATAATCTCAAAGCACTTTTTTCTTAATGTCATATTAATTATCCTTCAAATTCAATAATTTTTTCTAAATATTTATCTTAATTACTTTATTAATACACAAATTTAATTCCCAAAAATTATAAGTAATTGTTAAAAAATATCAATATCAACTATTACAATTAAAAAGAGAGTTAAGGTTTATATTTTAAAAATTTTAGAGAATTAAATAACTAAATTTTTTATTTAGTATAATAACATCATCCTTGTTGACATCCTTCGTTCAATTTGGTCATATCAACACACATTGAAAATTATGAACTATTAATTTGACTCTAACAATTGATAAATATATATAAAATTCATAAAATTATAATTAAAAAATAATTATTAATTAATTAATATTTATTACATCATTATGACGTCATCTGAGTCGACTCCCGAGTCGCTCGACCCCTGGCCATTGCCGAGTCGATCTTCGGTCCGAGTCTGACAACATTGCTTATTGTACTTCTTTCTCAATCTTTCTATAATTTGTAAGTTTAATCCCTGTTATTTTTTTCTCTCTCTTCCAAAAAAACATCTTTAATCTTCAAACGAGCATATCTCTCAATACATGAAGAATTAGAAAACGTATTACACATAAATTTTATTGTATTCGTCAAGATCTATCCAACAAAATCCATATGGAATATTTTTTTCGGACTTAAAAATGATTAAATTCTGATAGGCAGAATAAGGTGGATATCCATCCAGTTTAAGAAGATGGATAACCAACTTATTTTAAATTAGTTATCCATTGTGTTCGTGCTGATTATCCAACCGGTTTGAACTGGTTATCCATTTTATTTGTACAGCTTATCCATTTGACTTGTATGCCTATCCAACTTGTTATGTAGTTGTAATCCAACGGGTTTGTATGCATATCCTACTTGTTTGTACTGGATATCCATTTTGCTTATACTGGATATCCATTTGGTTTGTAATTTTAATCCAACGGGTTTGTACTGGATATCCGACTTGTTTGTACTGGACATCAATCCATTTGGTTTGTATGTCTATCCAATTTATGTGTATTGGTTATCCAACGGATTTATATGCCTATCCAGATTGTTTGTATCGGTTATCCAATCATTTTTTTTGTTCGGAAAAAATCATTGTCTAATACGCTAATATTGGTTATCCATTTTGTTTATACTGCTTATCCAATTATCTTTTGTTTTCCTTCGAAACATGGTTATCCAATGTGTTCGTAGTGATTATCCAATCGCTTTGTATTGGTTATCCAATTATTTTTACTGCTTGTCTAAATAAATTAGCATTGTTTGTCCCGTCATTTTTTTTTTTTTTTTGCTTTTGAGAAAATGTTTGCCCAATGTGTTCGTACTGATTATCCAACCCCATGCTATTGTTTCTCCAGCTATTTTTTATTTATTTTTATGAAAAAATACTTGTCCGGTATGTTTATACTTGTTATCCAACTGATTGATACTGCTTATCCAACCTAGTTTTTTCTTCAAATGGTTATCCGTTGTACTCATACTGATTATTCGACTGATTTGAAATGATTATCCATTTCATTTGTACTAGTTATCTAATCTTTTTTTTTCTTTTAGAAAATCGTTGCCCAATGTGTTAATACTGATTATCCAATTAATTAGTACTGCTTATCCAACCTAGTTTTTCTTTTTATTATTTTTTTTTGAAAAAAAAATAGTTTTCCAACGCGTTCATATTGATTATCTAACTGTTTGATATAGATTATCTGACCATTTGTTTTTTCTACTTTTTGCAAAAATCCTTCTTCATTTTTTGTATTGACTATCCAACCATTTTATATTGGTTATCCAATTATTTTCACTGATTATCCAAACATAATTCCTTTTCTTTTTTTTTTCTTTTGGTAAAATATGTGTCTCATGTGTTCATACTGATTATCCAACTTCTTGGTGATGGTTATCCAACTTTTTTTTCCTTACTCTTTTATGAAAATGATTGTCCAAACTTTTTTGTATTGATTATCCAACCAGTTTGTACTGCTTATCCAATTATTTTCAATGATTATCAAAATGGTTTGTAATGTTTATCAAAATATTTTTTTCTTTTTTTTCTTTTTTTTTTAAGATGAGTGAATGTCAAAAATATGATTGGATAACCAGTACAAACAAAATGGATAATTAGTACAAAGCGGTTGGATAATCAGTATGAACACAACGGATAACCATTAACAAAAAAAATATAATTCCTCCTTTCTGCCCGTAAAATTTAAATGCATTTAAAATTCAAAAAAAATATTCAAAATTGATCTTATCGGATAGACTCGTCGAGCACTATAAATTTCATATATAATTTGTTTTGTAATTTTTTACGGATTGAGAGATATAAATTTTACAAGAATATTAATATAAAATAAGTTGGTTATTCATTTTTTAAAACCGGATATCCATCCAAATGAAAGTAAAAATTTCTTTGTTTCTGCCTATCAAAATTTAGTCATTTTAAGGTTGAAAAAAATATTCGATATGGATTTTGTTGGATATATCTCGACGAATACTATAATTTTCATGTATAACACATTCTCTAATTCTTTACGGATCATGAGATGTGGTCGTTTAAAGATTGGAGATATTTTCTAAAGGAGAGAGAAAAAACGTCACGAGGACTAAACCTGCAAATTATAGGATATTTTTTAGAATAGTAAAAAAAAAAATGTAGTAAGGACTAGTAGTAAAAAAAAATAAGAGGGAAGCATGGAGCTTCCGGGTGTATCTAATAAATTGTCCTGGAATTATTGGTAACCATGAGTTGAGGAAACCTAAAAATGGTAGAAATAGGCTAATAGAGGCATGCTAATGACTAGTCGTTTGGGTAATGATATTGCAGTTCTTGAAGGCTCACTACATCTGCTGAATCAGGGATTATTATAAGTACTAAAAATGTCTAATCTGGTTTTCCAATGGCGTGATAACAATGTCGTTCACCTAACCATTGTTACTAAATTCTACCTGAGTGGGATAGCCTTCTTCACTGCGGAAGAAGAAATTTGCAAGAATAACCGGAACTTTGAAATCCGAATGTGTAAGAGCAGATCAATCACCAAGTTGAAACCGGTTTTGTTTCCACAGGATGAAGTTGTCAATGTTTAAAAAAAAAAAAAAAAACAGGAGCAGAAATCTCACAAGGCGGTGATGAATTATTTGAAGAAATCAGTGTTGGACTGAAAGATGGACTTTCAAATCAACCTGCTGGAGGAAGTGGGCGGTCAATCTTGAAGGCCAACAAAATCAGATGACAACCCTTTTGTGTAAGTTTTCTGCAACTGAGAAACAAAAATTTGCAGAATAAAGAGCCGAAGCTTTTGGCCATGTTGGATGAGGTGAATGCAACTACTGTAATGGAAGTAACGTTGTATTCGGGGGTCGTTTATTCATTTCCTCGAAATCAGTCAAACTGTAACATTCTACCTGCTAAACTAAAGCAAAGAATGCAAAACCATTGCATTTCATGGCGCTGATGGTTAAAAATCAGCTAGATCACTGGCAAAAGTTCACAACCAAAGCCTTATTATGAAATGAAAATGCTTCTCAAAAAGGAAGTTATTTTGATGGAAAAGTCGGAAGTCTTGCATCTTCAATCTTAAACCACCAAGGAACAAGCAGAACATCTTAATCTGAAGCACTACAGAACGAGTACATGCAGATGATACATTTCCTTACATGTTCATCAAAAATTAAACACTACACTTACGACTGGATCTTCTCCGCATCAGCCTGACCAGACTTCACACGCTGAGATCAAAATAATGGCAGCGATCCAACAAGCTGCAACCAGAATCAGTTTTACCTGGAAGTAACAAAGTAAGCAAATTAAGCTCAATAAGTTAGAAAGTATAAACATTCGTGTTTTAAAGAGCACGAAGACAACACATGAACCATATAACTGACACTAGATAGTGGGATAAAGGCCAAGTGTTGTTTGGAAGATGGCACACATAGAACTAAGATACAAAGAACTATACTAACCTCAGGTAGACAGAGATCACATCTTCCCTCAACCTTGGTATTTCCAGATATTTATCATCGCATTCGTTCAGCTTAACCTCCTCCATGTTAAAGCCCCTGTGACCTTGGAATTCATTCCATTCAAACCACATTTTGGCAATGCACTCCTTCCTAAAGCAGGTATCATGGTCTGCCTCTTCTGGGGAAGCAGCCGCCACCAATCTATACACATACACTTTCTTCTCCTGACCAGGCCTGAAAGCACGGCCTATGGCTTGGCGGGTAACAGAAGGGTTCATGTGCACATCTAATATTAAAACACGTGAAGCCCCAACAAGGGAAACTCCTTCCCCGCAGGCTTTTATGGAGCCGAAGAATACTCGAGCATCAGGGGAAGTGTTAAACATCTCCATTGCAATCTCTCGCTGGTCATTATCTGATTCACCGGTGATCATAAACATTTCTTTTCCAGTGGCGTACCCAAAAACTTTCAGAGTCAGCCTCTCCAAGAACTTCAGAGGCAAAAGAAACTGGCTGAAAACTAACAGTTTTTCGCCACTTGATTCACAGAGCTTGAGAAGGTTTAGATAGAACTTAGCTTTCACACCATCTTTCACATCCAAATTCTCCACAATCATATCAATTTTCTCCACGTCAACCCTTTCTTTAACATCTGGATTTTTTGAAAGAGACTTAAGATCAGGGTGAACATAAAGTGCACTACCCGCCGAACTTATCTTGAACTTCTTACGCAATTTCTTCAGTTCCACAACTTCTTGCTGCTGCTTAGGTCTCAACTTCAGCAGAAGGGTGAAATCAACAAGGCCAGGAAGTTCATCTAGGAAGTCCCCCCTGTAGTAGTGCAGTACTTTTCTGGTCATTTCCCTCAACTCTTTTATGACTGACACCTTTCTATTGAAATCTGTGTCTTTCACCAAGGTATGCTCTACAGCGTCATAAAATTCTTTGGCTGAACACTTGTTTGAGATGTCCCTTCTGGTACTCATTGAAATTTTACTCATGATACGCCTTTTAATTCCCTTTGAATTCTCCAATTGAAGAAACTTCGGCCGAACAAGATTCAAAATGTTGAAAACTTCTTCAACATGATTTTGGTAAAGGGTACCAGAGAGTACAACTTTTCTCGGAGTCTGAACCCTTTCAAGGGAGCTCACAATGTCAGTGTCTTTATTTCTTGGAGTGTGACCCTCATCTAAAATAAGGATAGACGGCTGAGTCAACAGGATTTCTTGGCATGTAGTAGCAGCCTTGCCACAATCAGTGTCACACACAATAGAAGAAAACTGCTTGTACCCCAGGAAAAGAATGCTCCTCTGATCTGCCCATAGCTTTAAGACTTCGAGCTGCTGAGCTCTACTATCTGCTTTGACAGAATAGAAATCATACAGGGGGAAGTCTTCAATTTGCCATCTTTGAAATTCCTTCTTCCAGATGGGCAAAATTCCTCTTGGCAGAACAACCAATGGCCTCGAAAATGGATACTTAGCCATGAAACTCTGTAGAAAACTGATGATCATAAAGGTTTTGCCAGACCCAGGGGCATGGGCCATGATACAACCCCCTGGGCTATCAGTCACTAGGTTGCTTAGTAGAAAATTGAAGCCCTCAATTTGATGAGGTTTCATTTGTTTGCGATGCCGTGGATGAGCAGCGATATCAGCCACCGCAAAATCATGAGCAGGTACATTAAATCTCCCAGGAACATAATCTGTTTGGTCGGAATCCTTGCTTGTACGACCATCATACCGGTAGGTTCTCGTGTTCTTAGCCTACTCACAAATGAAAAGGAATAATTGATAAATCAATCATCAAATGTTACTAATAAGAAAAAGTCAATATCCTTTCAAAAGAAAGCCATATACGCTTCAGGGATTTCTAAAGCATATGATACAAAATTTTTGTTGTTTGTAATAAAACCAAATATTCTATGTGTCAGACCAAATTAGATGCATTAAGAACATTTTAAGCTAAACACAAAATACCAAGGCATGTTATGAAGCTGTAAGTAAATGTCGAACCAAAAAAACTAGCAGTATGTTAGGTTCCACAAGAGAATCGAAATTAAGCTTGAATTGAATAGTTCCTGTTTTGGGTATGTTAGAACTTTATTTCACTATCATTTAAACTTGGCATTTAATAATTGATGATATTTTATGCATAACATGTCATATTCTACAACAATTACAATTTTAGAAAAGTACAAAAGACTCATCGCAACCACAAATCCAAGTGCCCGTTTTCACCATAATTTATCCTATTTTGCCAATGTGTATGTTTTTCATCCATGTCAAATCATCTTTCACAATCAATTTCTATGGTACGAAATCAAATGCATACAGATGACCACTCAATGCATGTTGCAATATTACAAGCAATGTATTGGAAGCCAGCGAGAAATAACATTAGGCAACTAGGCATGTCACAGTCAAATTTTGTGACACACAGAGTTACATGGTAACATCTGGAATCTAAAAAAAAAAAATTATTCATAACACTGGACTATCCATAACACATAGATCCAATCAGCAATGGAAGGCTATCTCTAACTACCCATTTACGATGTTCAAAATGCCCGAAAACCCTTTTTTCCCATCCCTTAATTAGTGATTTTCTATTGCCTTTTCTTTGTTTATTTGTCAGCTACCCATAGCATAGATAAATTACCGGAATCCCAAGGTTTCAAAGATTTAGATCTTTATCTTGAACATAAATCTACACTGTCCAATTGTCAAGTAGAACCAATTTCCTGAAAAGGAATTTTCCCAGGCTTATATTGACCTTAACACTTAGTACTTAATTGGGAAATGCGTGGATCAAATCTGCTTCTTTTCAGTGTGATCAGTTGTGCAGGATACCCAGTCTACACATATAGTAGAGTTCCAAGCATCTTTAACAGTATCATTGTAAGCATTGGTTCTAATAAAAAATATATACTGTAATGAATGTGGATCAGAATTCTAGAGAGAGAGGAATACCTTTGTAAATTGATACTCTATAATTGTCTCAATGCTTCTCTGAATAATTCCACAAACACGGCATACATATCCAATATCATCTTTCAGTATAAAAGAATGATCACACTCCAATGGCTCCTCAGCGGCCTTTTCATCAGATGAAGGATCCGTATCTGTTTCCTAGAAGACATGGAAATCAAGAAAGACTTGATAAGTTTACTGATGAAGAACAGCTTGCTACATGTAATAATAAAGCTGGTGACAGATGACTGTGTTTTTTGCAGCATCAATAGCCTTGAATAAAAGCACACAATACAATGTTCATTATCGATCTCCAAACACCTTCCATATCACGTACGTGCAATTCTTTGAAATAAAAGCAGCATTTTCCCTTCTAGATCCTAAAGCAGGAAAAGATTAGATATGAAGCACTACAGTTTCAACAAATGACACCTGCAAAAATCAATTTCATTCACATATTTTATTAATCTTCTTCATTTATTATAATTGGATAAATGGCAATACAAATTCCTGACATAAATCTTGAAAACAGCTGCATAAAGCTGATTATAAGGAGTTTGATCCCATTAAGGTCAAATGTATGCTCAAGGAGCACATTAATCTTTGCCTTCTTCCTCATTATACTAGAAAATATGACAGAAATATATATACTACAGTCAATTACCACAAGCTTTCCTCTTAAAAAAAGGCACACGCCACTGCAAGAGAACCATATTTTTATAGCACTTAGCAGAAAGAATGTTATACTACAATCCGACACATTTAAACTTAGTTTAAAAAGAAATTGGATGGCATGTGATGATCAAGCGGCTACAAAGTATGTAGAGGTTCACATATTCACGAGTGAATACACGAGTGGGTCAAACTGTAATACTGGGCAGACTTAGAAAGCAATACCTTTGAAGCTTCCATCGCAAATGACATCTCCTTCCATATATCACCTAGCCCGTCATCAGTAGCAGTGGGGTGCTCGTCATCATCCTCGTCATCTTCAACTCCAACATAAGCACCATTACTTTCCGTCGCTTCCGACGTTGAAGTCAGGTCCATTTCCCTTTTTTTAGGAAGTTCAATCTGAGAAGAAAGCCAATGCATGAGTACTGGAAGGCCTAGGGAGCAAAATTACAAAACAGATGAAAATCATTGAACTCATACTCTTTTTCTCCACCACCACCACCCACCCACCCCGCGGAAGAAGAAAATGACTACTAAACACAAATTTGTAAGAGCAGTTGCAGGTAAATCTTTAGCATAAATCAAAATCAACTTCTCCTATAAAGGACATTAAATACTCTTTTTACCCTAGAAGTTGCAATGAGGAGACCCTCTCATTCTTTTTTGGGAAGATTATGAAGCAATTGGTCAGGAAGGAAACAAGCCCAAAAATGAGATTGAAGCTCAGAAGAATGGACAGATTCCCTCCCGCCCCCGGGGGGGAAACACACTCATATCATTGGCAAATTTAGAATATGAAGCAGGAGAAACAATGAACATGTGATCCAATCAGAACCATTTGGTCTCAAGCACAAAAATGTCCAACGTTCTAGCTTATTAATTCATAATAACCTAGCTAAAGCAAATCATTCAGTTCATCAGATTTGTGTCTGGTTTCCATACATTTTATAATTTATGGAGCACCCCAGTTCCTATGTCTTGCCAAAGAAAAAGAAGTCGAGGCAAACCATGCCACCCTGGATTTCCAGATGAATAAACTTTGTGAAAGCTCCAAATGATAATTACACGCCAAATGTAAGAGAAACAAAATCCATCACACTTGGTAAATTTGGGTTGAAAGGAAATTAAGGAAGAACAGTTAGGGCTGTGCACCCAACCTGGAAGAGATCAGATAATTTTCAGTTTTTCACCATGAGGCATCATTTCTAGTGTTCAAGCTATTCTTTGTCAAGAGTGAGCTATTGGCGATAATAGCCATTTCTTCAACCAGAAGTCATAGAAAGGAACGGTTGAGCCAACTAAAGGGAAAGAGACCGAAATATATTTTTTCTAACCTTAGCATACGGATAATGTTCCATTCCTTTCTGCACCTGCAAAAGTAAAGAGAAAATCCAATTAGAACATCTACTGCCCTCAGGTTCAAAACTCACATTATTTTCCAGACCACAGAATGTTTTGGTTAAGATTGTCACTTCTCCAGGTGATTTTTGGCCTTTTAACGGATTAGTTTAAGGTACGTGCACTGCATTGCACATCCAAGATTCATAAACATTTCCACGTCCCAATGTGGATAGTTATTTCCCATTTCTTAATTTACTTACTAATTTACTGATTAATTTATAAGTAACAATAATAACTTTTACATCAATTCATATTAAATTGATAAGAATTTGACCGCATAAAATAGCATTCTGAACTTATAAGATACATACCTCAAAATCCTTCATCATGAACTTTCCACCCTGATTATTCAAGATAAGCATCCCCGGGGTTTGGGAAACCTCCTTAATTTCAGGTTCATCGTCATCTGAATCCAAGATGACGAGAGGACCAGCAGATGGGCGGGCCTGCAAACTGTTACCAGCCTGCAGAGGAACAATGGCTTTTGTATCACTGTCATCGTCCACGTCAATGACATTAGAAGAAGTTAATCGCTCTGTTTGCAAGATCACTTTGCTTGGGCGGGGCTTGAGATTCAAATACTTAGAAGGATGTGTACAATCCATTGCAAAATAATTCATTAGTAACTGTTGCCTCCTTGAAGTAAGGTCTTTTATCTCTTTAGTAACACTTCCATACTTTCCAGGATCCAATTTTTCCATTACATTGGAAATGATTAATGGATCTGAATAGTCTACGACATTTGAAGAAACTTCTTGTCTCTTGCGCTCCAATCCCTCCTGCCAACTAGTTAAATTGGACAGGTTGCTCACACTTCCATCCTCTATCATCCTCTTGCGCTTTTTCAGATATGCATCTGCCACAAAACCAATAGTCAAACATTAAAATAGAAAACTGCTTTCATAGGAATGCAATTGCACATAAAGCATCTCTATAACAACTGCAAGTATGTTTACACGGAAAGTCATAGAAAACTACTTTCAAAAGGAAATAACAAATATGTTACAAATGAAAAATTTACAGCTAAGTAACAAAAGTACATAAGATGGAAGCAGGGAGAAAGTTCAAGGAAACTTGTGACTGAATCTTGAAACAAACAATGAACTTCAGAAACAACATATAATCTGAACCAGAAAACACAATGCTCGAAAAATTAATCAAGGAATTATCAAGAGACTGACTTTCCTCTAGCACATTGTAGAAGAAGAAAGAGCAACCTAGTGCAACACAAGTGTTATATTGAAGGGATCTGAATTAACTGTTGCAGTGTCTCCATACTAAGAAGGCAGTAAAATTGAGTTGTTTCAATTTCAACTGCGACCTAGAAAGAACAACCAGGTGCAAAATGACTAAATGTAGTTCCACAACTGAATTGTGAACCTTCTTTCTACGACATTGAGCACATTACATGAGTAGTGCTCTGTGAATATCATAACAAATAACTATCTTACTTTTAGTATATGGACAGATTTTTTGGTCTAACAGATCTACTGTACGAAATAAAGAATTGGATCATAATGAGCACAGTTAAAATTAAATTCTCTACATATGACTTCCATATTCAAACAGAGAAAGTAATGTATGAAGACTTCAAACCAGTACCTTTTTGCCAGCCCCTCAACAAATTAATTTTTTTCAAATTACAAGGACAAGCCATCTAACCTATTTTTATTACTTCTCCATGGGATATCCATGTTGAGATAGTCAAACCCCTCCCCCTCCCTCTGAAAAGAAAAAAAGAAGACCGAGGAAAGAAAAGGCAAGGTGCACAGACTTGCAATCTTTCTAATGCAAGTAAATCAACCAAGTAACCGAACTGGATTTTAATCAAAATAATAGATTTGCAGCAATCAGCAATTCATAGTTGATGAAAGAATATATATTCATGGCATCACTTGTAACTCGGAAATCAAGAGAATCCAACCAACATATCAAAACCCTCACACTAGGCACACAAGACATGATAATACAAGAAGTGAAAAACGCCATAATGGAACTGTATAGTGACTGAAGATATCCTTCACCATAAACGATCAATGTTCCTTAACAATCAAGTACAATAACAAGATCCTGATCCAGTGATTCACCTTGGAGCAGAGTAAAGAAGAGAAGGTGTCCCGAAGACATTGTGCTATGTATGGAAGGATGAATGGTGTAATAGAGTCAGACTGAAAAATGAAACATAAGCAACAAAGGAAATGGGCTGGTGCAAGAAACAATGTACAGCTCCTTATGATTTTAAGAAGAGAGAGCGCTGACACGTATGATGAGAAATTATGAGGGACATAATCTATGAGCTGTATCATGGTTGTCGCAAAGGGATCATGGGAGTCATAAGATTGACAAAATCCAAGCAATTTAAGACTAACTATAAGCATGTTCTTTTTTTAAATTGTCAAGGACGACTTCCTAAAACGTGAAGCGCTGGGATATACATATCCCCAAGGCCAAAATAGAAGAGAATCAGCTTTTTTATTCTTTATTTTATTTTTGGGGAGGACACTGACCCATAAACGTAACTGAAACAAAATTGGAAGAATATAAGTCTTGCTAGTGAGCAAAAATAAAGGACAAATAATTACTGCCAAAGTGCACCAGCATTACGTCATGTCTCATCTCGTCTTTAAAATAGAATCTTTAAACAATGCCAGTCATAATTATCATGAAGATGCAAATTTATTCCATAACTGATTAGAGTCTATCTTCACAGGCTCGGTCCTTCAGAGGACTATATAAGAAACACAAAATAAATCTATATATTAACAATGCCACCATAAACTCTGAAAAGTAGATATGGCTTCTTTTTGGAGATCATTGTCCATAATTCAACTATAAAGTCACATGACAAATGCAACATCCTCACTATAGCAACCTAGCAGCTGACCATAACTATATTTATAGGTAGAAAAGATGTGCCATTATTTTACTTGTTGAATTTAAACAATTCTTTACTGTAAGAATACAATTGTAACATGCGAAAGAAGAAAAGGTCACCTCCAAATTAACAGTCACTAGTAAGATAGAAAATCAAAACATTTTATGCAAAATAGGCACACACACTAATAACAGATTTTTACAGCAAGTATCAGCATCAACCAAGTGAATGGAATAACACGGAACAACTAAAAGAGAGTATGTATGGAGACAATCGGTATGTACCCTTAAAATGCTGAATCAAGAAAGGGTACCACAACACATAGATGCTCTCGAGCAGGCCTTAGTAAGAGTCAGACCATTAAGACCTTTTCTATGCCACATTACCTTAAAAAACTATAAGAGCATTTTGCTGTGACCCAAACACGTGACCTCATACCACATAACAACCTCTGACTGCTGCGTCAAGGATTCTCTTTCAGAAAGGCTACAGTTACCTAATCTACTACATCTTTTTCTTCTTTCCTTTTTTGTTTTCAGTCCTACTTCATTAACTGATGCTCATACAGTCACCTAACTAATTTTGCAACCGGTAGCTGTTTACATTACAAGTAGATGGGAAGACTGACTAATTGTGAATTAGCTGAGAAGAAACGATAAGGAAGATTGATTTAGTTCCCAACTCCATGAAGACATCAATGCTTTAACAGTTTAGAGAAAGAGTGTTAAGAAACAGTTTTCCCTGAAAACATCGAGTCAACATCCCATTTTATACAATGACACTGCCTAATCATTTAGAAAACAGAAGGACGATGCTTTATGTGTTTATAGAATGATTGGACTTTGTATTTCCACCGATAAAATTTACAAAAGATTTTTTAGAACAAGAAACTCCATGAAATATTCATCTTCCAACTACTGCACAAATCCTGCCTTATATTTACAACACTCAATAAAAGTTAAAGCCTTTGATGGCTAGTATCTCTTTCCCATCTTACAAACATCTTTCTACATTTCCTACATACCTTACAGTTTCCAATGTACCCTTTTTCACATGGTCAATACAACTTTTTCTACTCTCCACATACGATCAAATGCATAATGCAGTCTAAAATGCCCCATCCGGACCCTGAGTATCAATTTAACACAATCCCTTTCCAGCACACCATGAGAGCACCATAAACACAAAACATAAATAAACAACTGAAGGATGTCGACAAACGGAACCTAGTGAACCAAGATATAAACAAAGAACCCGAGTACCAAAATACTTCATCATCAAATAAGCAGTTTTTCCATACACATCAACTTGTACTAACATGCAATCTTACAACCAAGACAAGAAATAAAATTCCTTCAGGCTTACCATTTGTCGGCGGCGGGTGACGCTGAAATATTTTTGACCCCGGCACCGGCATTCTATCTCCTCTCTGTCTTTGCCACATTTTTCTGTGGCAACGGCAAAACAGAAAACCCAACTCAATTCACTGGCCAACAAAAAAAAACCGTCTTTGTCAATTTCGTTATCTCGTTATCAATCGCAAACTAACCAAAAACCCAATTAGTGCATGTCAAAAAAAATAAATAAAAATCGACCGATAAGTCAATTACCGTGAAAACACACACACACACTCACAAATACAAATTCTCTAGCACCCATGATCGGAAAAAACCCAATTGAATTGAACAAAATTCATGAAGGGATTTCAGTAGAAGCGACTCACATAGTCTCATTGGGCGTGGAGCAGCAACTCTTCTGTGATCAAAGGAAGAGGAGGAAGTAAGAAATGTATGGGAGAGTGGACTGAGCAAAGCTGTCCCCCTTTTTTTTTTTCTTTTCCGCTCCGCAAATACTAATATTTTATTAACATTCTCAGAAAACCGACCGATAGAGAACGGTTATGTGCAGACCGTTTTCTTTATATTTGGTCCTTTTTTTGGAGGGTTAATAAACGTACGTTAACATTATTCTTATTTATTAAAAATCCAATAAAAGAGTCCGATAAATTCCTTCGTTATTTAGTGTTGAATTACAATAACGAGCTCAATAAAATTTTGTAGTACTATGTTTTTGCATTATAAAATTTTATTATACTGTTAGATTCGTAAACACATCCGTGAATTATTCATCATCCCATAAATATATTTTGAAATATAAAAATTGTACCAAATTATGTAGATAGTAATTAACAGAACGTAATAATTAATATTACAAATGCTCCTTTCATCTTTAAACAAGAATCGTGTTAGTTTGATTAAATTATTTTAATACGATTCACAGAACTATATTCAGACAAAAATAATACCTGTTTACATAACATGTAAATGGATTGAGTAAATATTTCTAAGATAAAAATGTTTATCTGCTCTGAAGTCAAATTAAAATTCGAGTATTTATTTTGTGTAAGGTCGCTTCAAACAAAGAGCCTTAAGAGTTAAAAGTGGGATTTTCAAGAAGTAAAAATGCTAGTGCGATATTCAGATGTGGCTCTTTTTTTGTTTTCGAAACTATTTTAATTTATTGTAGGTCTCTAAAAAAAAGAGGTGTATTAATTGGAACAACCAATCTCTCTGGAAGAGTACCACTTACAAAATTTGTGACTTTTCTTTCACATATAAAATAATTCGTGAGATAAAGAACCGAATAAAAAAAATTCTTATAAAAATGTATGGGGAAAGAATGCGTTTAAAAGAGCAAGGAGGGAAATAGAGATTTGCTCCTTTGATCTAAACTACTCAAGCACTTATACTTGAGCATATCATATGAGTTCATTGTCTCAGATGATGAAGGATCGATATGGGTATTTTTAAACGACTTGTTCACAGAGTTGGATGCAATCATTGAAATTGAGTCTAAAGATACGCCATTTATTTGAATACTAATTGGTTTAAACACCCTTCGTGGCGTACCTTAATTTTAAAATTTAATAAAAATAAAAGAAGATAATAATTTGAGGAAAAAATAAAAGTAAATGTGGAAAAATGATGTTAAATAAATGATTTTATTGAATAAATTCAATGTCACATGTGACATTACAACACGATTAATAATTTTGTATTTGCCTTAAAATACAAATATACAACTAACAAACAAATTTTTTACATTTAAATTAAAATACATTTCAATACATGTATAAATCATAATTGTGAAAAATTATACTTAAAACAAAACTATTCTATTTTCAAATAACAAACCTAAACCAACACATGAAAGCAAACAATACTTAACTTCTGATATGTTTTTGAACTTCAATTCTCAAGTTTACTTTAAATTCGTGATTCTAAAACTTATCTTTTTTAAAAAAAAATTCATACTATGGTAGAGTTTTCTATTCTTCTCACTGTGATAGTGGCATCCATAGGAATATAAAAACATCCCTGCAACTGTGAGTGTATTAGTAAAAGGCAAAAAATAAATAATTATTACTTAAACATTTAAACATTCAAACAAATAACTTGCATGCACATAAACACTCAAAATATGGAGAAAAGAACATAAGAGGGTGAATTAATCCAACATTTAAAAGCAAATAATATCAAAATATAATATGCATAACACAAAGGATAAGAGAGATGCAAAAAGAATATTTAGATCCATATTAAATTAAATGTCTCTCTCTTAAAACCTTAGACTATACCACACAGAAATCCATGATGGCTATTTCCCTACATGAAAATTCATTAACAAAAGATTAATCTTTAGAAAAATTGATAAAGAATAACATATCCACCATTGTTTTCTTGTACTTTAGAGAGGAGATGAATGCATATGCAATCCTAATGATTCTAGGATCCTAAAAAATTTATTTATAAATCCATTTAAATAGGTGTTTTGTCCATCAAAACTTATCAAACATCGTTTATAAATCTAGGAGTAAAATGATATTTGTTGTACCAAACATCAGTTGCAACGTACCTAAAATTCTAGCCGCCATTACATCTTCAATTTTTTAGGTCAAATCGATTCTCTTCAACACCCTGGCAATAAATAATGAAATTTTACAAATTCGACTATAAATATCAAAAATCTTTATCAATATGCATTCCATGGCTTCCACAATTAAGAAAACGCTTGCCGCCTGGCACAAAGACTTAATCTGAATCAACATATCAGGCAACCCTATAATTTCTGCAAGAGCAAAATATCGTGCATCAAAGAACACCTCTTCAATTCGTGATGAATCAGAACATTTAGCACATTCTTTTCTTGCATACTGACAAAAGACAACGTGAATTTGTGATATAAATACGCATGATAAGACCGGATGAAGGCATTTTCGGCCCAAATTTCGTAGGATTTTGCCATACTCGTCAGAGAAATTGGATTAATTGAAGCGTAATCGCCCAATTCGTGAAACAACAAGACCTGATAAGTCATCCCTTTATGAATAACTTACATACAGACAAAGGGGGAAAACCCATGAACGCGTACTTACATGATTTGTGAGAAAAAAAATTGAAAGATGGCCAAATCAGATTATCATTCAATTGTTATATGGAGTGGTCTTTCAACATCACCAACTTTCTCTTTCTGTTCAAATTACGGTGAGCTCTTCTATCACATCAAATTTTCAAACAAGAAAATAAATCAATCGATAACCTTTCAAAATTTTTAATAGATTGACTCAACACAGTATGATTTAAAATTGGCTGGCGATTTTGCCACAACAATTTCTAGCATCTAGTACATAATTTATTATATTTTCCAAAATTACCCTCGTCAAGTCAACTTTTTTATTTTCCTCTCTCCCTCATCCATCGCTTAATTTTTCTCTCTCTCCTTCCATGGCTCCAGAACAACCTCTTCTCCTCCTATGTTTTGTTGTATCTTTTGTAAATTATAGCTTGAGATTATAACTGAGACGGTGAATCTTTTTTATCAAATTTTAAAAAGTAATAACTCTGCGGCCATTTGATCGATTGTCAATTGATGTGAAATTGATGAGATATCCAAGTTCATCATTCAATTGATCCCCACCGAGAAAGATAAAGGCAAGCCAAAGAGAAGACATCCTATTTGTTGAGCTAGAAGAATTGATCCCCAGTGGATGGTGCGAAGACTAGGGAGCTTTTGTGCATGATTTGAAAATTTTCTACTCTTCTTTTGTGCGAAGACTAGGGAGCTTTTCTACTCTTCTTTCTCTCTCCGGCAAAATAATTATTCTGAAAATTTTCTTTTATTTGTAAATTTCCAATTTAGTCTTTGAATCATTTTTCTAGAGAACTATAGTTTTTGAAGATGACGGTAGAGGAGGAAATTAGGGTGGTTGAGGGAGTTGAAGGCGAGGAGGAGGAGGCTGAAGAAGATGAGGTAATTTCTTTTTCTTTAGCCCAAAAAGAAAATTCTTGTAGTTTGCTGGGTTTTTTTTTTTTTTGGATTCGAATTTTTTATAATTACCTATGTCAAATATGGTTCTTGTCATGGAGTTGAATAGGTGTTCTAACTGTTTTATGTCAATTCTGGTACAAATTGTTCAATTCTATTTTGAATTTACTCAAATCTGGTTGTTAATCTGGCGTCAAGTTTTGGTTTTTGGATATTATTCAATTTGAGTGCCAGAAGTTGTAAATATAATGTTAAAGTTGATGTCTTTAAATGGATGGGGGTGATTCCTTGTTTTAGTAGTGGAATACAGTCTTTGAACGCATTTTAGGAGTTCCTTTCATGTTTTGCTTGACCGTCTATCACTTGTGTTTTTGCATATACGTTTATACTTTAGAGTATGTTGTTGAATGTTCTGCTAAGGATCTTTTTGTTGTCCCAAATGCTATGATTTTTACAGCGACTTGTGAGCGTGGCTTTGCCATGTAGATACTGCAACAGTTGCTCTGAGAATGCAACATGTAGATCCTGCTATAGTTGCTTTGAGACTGTATTATGATTTTCATTGTGTATTATTGTTCTTGGTTGAATTGATGGACATATATAAAATGTTGCTGAACTTCAACTTTCAAATGAAGAAAATGTCGAGCTGGATAATTCTCTCCGCTTCACGGCCAATTCCCTTCTCTCGATGCCGAAAGGAAAAAGGTTCGCGGCAGCCACAAGCTGAATGTTGAATACCAAGGGTTTAAAAGCACCAGCCTGCACCTACCCGTAAAGTTAACGCCCAACAGTCTTCTGCTACCTCAAATGTTCTTGCTCTTCCTGGTCCAGAAACCAGAGATCAACAACAAGGAGTGGCCCAAAATGAGATAGTTGTTGGTCCTTCTCTACAGGAAGGGCACTCAAAGAGGTTCAAATGTGAAGAATCATGTATTCAATCCTGAGTGGCAGTACGTCTACCTTTTTTTTTTTTTTTTGCTTTGAGTGGATTCAATGTTGTTGTACACTGAATTCTCCTAGTTTATATATTTGGTTAATCTGTCTCGGTTGATTAAAGTATTGAAGTCCTGGCTCTGCTAGAGAGTTACTGATCAAAAAATTGGAGAGACTTTTTTCTTTTCTTTGGCTCTCCCTCCCCTGCTTAAGTTTTCCAACTATAATACTACAATCTTTGCACTGTACTTGAGTAGAAATAAGTCTTCTTTGTTTCTTACATTCCAAAAAAAAAAAAAAACCAAAACGGTTTCAGCCATTATAATAGTAGATGAGTTGCAACATTATCCTATTGTTTCCAAAAGTATTTGTAGCACAAAAGAAATATAAAAACACATAAGCTGCATAAAGTTAACGACATCAATGATGGCAAATCAACGTCGAACAATCTTTTATTTCCAGTTGGCTTAATAGGATGCCCATCAAAGTTTTCACTTGTTTTGATCTGCAAACATAATAGAGAATAAGACATAATTAAATCACTACTATCTAGATTAAAAAGCTAACCAAAGAAACTTGAAGCAACAAAAGTCATATCTAAACAAAAATGAGAAAATTCATATTAAGAAATGACACAGATTCCTGCAACAAAAACTGAGCAAAAGTGACATCCTTT